TAAGTTACTGTACCATTCAAGAGTGATTGTACATGTTTTACTTTGCATTATATGTAATTGTACTGTAAAATCTGTCAAGTGTATGGTTTTTACAAGTAAAAACCATGAATTACCATATAATTTAGAGTGAAAAACTATTTAATGACATTCCCAGAAGTTGTGTGGCTTTCTGTTTTACCACCTGTATTATTATGGTGGTTATCAGTACATTTTTTTAAGCTAAAAATCAGATTGTGATTTCAAATAGACTTGGTATATAAGATTATATCATATAATTAAATATTTGGTTTGAAGTAGTCAAATAGAAAGGCACCGGTATGCCATTCTGTAATAACTGAAACACTGTCTCCATGATTTTTATGGCAAAATTCTGGCAACCACAGCTCTGCTATCTTTATGGGCAGTGCTCAGACATATGGTGCAACAGCATTTGGGTGACCCGAGTTTGAGTCCTGGCTCTTGGTCCTTTCCCAGTCCTATTCTCCTCTCTGTTTCTTGTCTCTCTTTAACTGTCCTATTCAAATAATGGCAAAAATGGCACAAATATAACTTTTAAAAAAAAGTATAAATATAAAAAAGGTTAAATAAATAAATAAATAACATCCTGGCGGAGATTCCACCCCATAGCTGACCCTGATGACTTGAATCCTTTAATTATTTTGCATTAATATATATATATATATACAGTAAATATATATATATATATATACAGTGGTGTGAAAAAGTGTTGGCCCCCTTCCTGATTTCTTATTTTTTTGCATGTTTGTCACACTTTAATATTTCAGATCATCAAACTAATTTAAATATTAGTAAAAGATAACACAAGTGAACACAACATGCAGTTTTTAAATGAACGATTTTATCATTAAGGGAAAACAAAATCCAAAACTACATGGCCCTGTGTGAAAAAGTGTTTGCCCCCTAAACCTAATAACTGGTTGGGCCACCCTTAGCAGCAACAACTGCAATCAAGCATTTGCGATAACTTGCAATGAGTCTGTTACAGCGCTGTGGAGGAATTGTGGTCCACTTATCTATGCAGAATTGTTGTAATTCAGCCACATTGGAGGGTTTTCGAGCATGAACCGCCTTTTTAAGGTCATGCCACAGCATCTCAATAGGATTCAGGTCAGGACTTTGACTAGGCCACTCCAAAGTCTTCATTTTGTTTTTCTTCAGCCATTCAGAGGTGGACTTGCTGGTGTGTTTTGGATCATTGTCCTGCTGCAGAACCCAAGTTCACTTCAGCTTGAGGTAGGGCTGTGCGTTTAATCGAATCGAAATCGCGATTTGAGACGTTGCAATTTCCTAATCGCAAAGCCTGCGATATGGAAGCGATATTACTCTGTTCCAGAGCATATGCATGACTGCCAGCCTTGAGTTGCAGTCTTACTAACCAATAGAGTGAGCACACCTCCATTCTCCCCAATCAGCACTGCTCTAGCCAACTGCGTAAACACCCACCATTTAAAAAAAAAAAAAATTTAAAAAAAAAACGGAAAGCGGGACGGGAGAGAGACAGAGTGGGATTATGGCGTCTACTGGGTCAGATCGATAGTTAAGCAAATTAAAACTAAATAAAACCATATGCAACTTAAGCTTCGAAATGACCGACAACGAACAGAAAAGGTAATCTGCAAGAGCTGCGTCACAGCGCATATCAAAAGCTCCCTGATCGGTTCTGTTTTCAGTACTGGAGAATAAAAGATACATTCTTAGATGTTTTTGTTAGTACGTGAACGTTATCTTACACATTTTATCTCCCCAACAGATTAATTTGAAATAAGTTTATGATGCATGTTTGCTATTCCAAATTCAGAAGAGCGCACACACAGCCTGTGTCTGTGAATGCTTCTCATACTCGCTCCTCTCTGCCCCACGTGGCGCGAATCCCGCGTTCATGCTTGCCGCATACTCGCACCCGGCTCCGCACCGCAAGTCTTCACGAGCGCATCTGGCAGTATGGATGAGGCTTGACGCACATTTTCCACTTGCTCTTAAAATCCCAAATACTCAAAATTAATAAATCAGCCTATGTTACATATGTAATACTTTAATAATTGACTTAAGAAATACAGTTCTTTATTTATAAAAAAATAAACAAATATTTTCTGTGAAATTCAGTAATTAAGTTAATTCTGTAAAAGTAGTTATACCATTATAATCTTGCCTGCTGAAAAAAAAATGGCAGTAATCAGGCCTGGGTGTGGCTAGAAAAATTGAACTGAGGTGTGATAAACCACAGTTTTAACAGGGGGGCAAACACTTCTTCACACAGGGCCATGTAGTTTTGGATTTTGTTTTCCCTTAGTAATAAAAACCTTCATTTAAAAACTGCATGTTGTGTTTACTTGTGTTATCTTTGACTAATATTTAAATTTGTTTGGTGATCTGAAACATTAAAGTGTGACAAACATGCAAAAAAAAAAAGAAATCAGGAAGGGGGCCAACACTTTTTCACACCACTGTATATATATTTTTTTTTGCATTTTCTAGACCACCAATGACTATATTTGCATTATATGAGAGTCTCTTTTATTCTCAGTGCAATTCCACTGAAATCAAGCTAATCCCAAGTTTTTTTGTTTTGTTTTGTTTGTTTATTTTTCCTTGCTAATCCACTGTGGCCCATTTGCCCGTCCATTTAACTGCTGGTTTTTGGCACATTCTGAATCTGAATCCGTCACGGCCATTGACCATTTATAACAGATCTATTCTAGAAGCTTAGCATTTGTGAAATCCTGTAAATGAGTGTTAGCTGGGAAATCCTGCATCATGCTGCTATGTGTTAAAAGGATGTGCAAGATTTCAGTCGAGTTCACAGCTCACCTGTGGGTGCGTCTGTCACTTTCACAAACACCTCTCTGGCTGCAAAGACTGTTTAAGTGTGGCACGGGGGTAAAATGGTCTCTGTTTCAGCAGCTACGATCTGCAGCTGAAAGCTCTAGAAGATTCGACAGTGATCTTTGTATCCGCAAGGCATTGCATTACTGAATGCAAGTACTGCCATCACATAGACAGGCTGTATTTAGCAAATCCTCCATTTTCATGTTTTCATTTAAGAGGTTGACCTGAAATGTTATTATGATGAGATCTCAGATCTGTCTACAAAAAGAATGGATTTCTTTTGGTGTGTTTGGCAATTGATAAACAAATTATTGCAACTTGATGCCAGAGAGTATCTTCACAGGGTTATTAATTATAAGACCAGGAAAAATGAAATTATGCATTAAGCAAAAAAAACAGTAACACATTTTAAGTCTTTTAGATAATGCCAGATGGGATTGGTTCAAATATGCTCAGATTCAAAGAAAACAGAGTGTGTAACTTTGCCTTTCTATTGCAGTAAAGTTCAACTAAATGTTTTATTTTCCCTCCCACATTACAATTAAAAGTAAAATTAAAACACCATACAAGACTCTGTGCATCAATAATGAGTATGGTAATGACTTTGCAATGTAAGCACCATAACAAAGTCCTTTGCGTGAAAAAGGTTGAAGACCTCTGGTTATTATGACTGACTGAAAACAATAATGAACATTAACAACAGAAAACTAGATGTGTGGGACTCTAAAATTGCAGTGCTTTGACAGACATAAATTTAAATGTTACAAAACCAACTATTACTGACTTAAATAGTTAATAGGTGCAACTCCAAAGGAAATGTAAAAAAATGTATGTGGTTGTGGATATTTTATGCATTTAGAACATACACACAGACTTTTGAATCTATATTAGTGAGCACTTCACATCAATGTTTTTTATACCTAAATTACTCTAAAACCTGCTGATGTTATTAGACATAAGGCAAAACATATTTTGAGTCTTTTAAATAGTAAAGACCAAATGTGACCCTGGACCACAAAACCAGTCATAAGGGTCCATTTTTTAAAATTGAGATTTATACATCATCTGAAAGCTGAATAAATACGCTTTCCGTTGATGTATGGTTTGTTAGGATATTTGGCCGAGATACAACTATTTGAAAACCTGGAATCTGAGGGAGCAAAAAAAAATCCAAATATTGAGAAAATCGCCTTTAAAGTTGTCCAAATGAAATTCTTAGCAATGCATATTACTAATCAAAAATTAAGTTTTGATATATTTACAGTAGGAAATTGACAAAATATCTTTATGGAACATGATCTTTACTTAATCAATAATTTTGACCCATACAATGTATTTTTGGCTATTGCTATATACCCAGCGACTTAAGACTGGTTTTTGTGCTCACAAATGTCCTTGGTTTTTGTCATGGTAATCAAGTTATGTCACTATATTTGTGAGGACATTTGTCCCTCACAAGTATAATAAAGCTGTAAACACACTCTAAACCACTCTAGAGTTAAGCCTAATTGTAGCTACAATAAATGGCTGAATATCTCAGTAATGGCAAGGACAACATGACAATAGAAAAAAATGTGACGAGTAGGTCACTACACAAGTGCCCAAGTAATGGTCTACTTATGCATAAGCACAACATCGTGTCTCGGTATGAACAAAAAACAATAATAATATCATTAGGGAACGTATGTCCGTTATTAATAATGAATTTGTTATTTCAACCCAGATTCGCTGTGATTTCATGCCTATTTATTGCCACATTACTCAGAGCACCTGCTCTTAATAAATCTCAGGCGAAGCGATGCAACGTCGCTAATCTCATATCTCAACTGTTAAAGAATAGCTTAAAATCACGTGTTAAACAACTTTTGGGCGTAAATGCGGTCAGGACTCTAATTACTCCAGGCATAATTAAAACACGCAACACTGGAGGCAATCGCGCTTGGGGAAACAGCAGCTTTACCTCACACACCTACATGTTCATTGACAGGTGAGGTTTTATGTGACATCTTCACGACTGCTGCGCTCACAAACTCCATCGCAATCTATAAACTTGAACATGTTTTGCGGTGCCAATATGTGAAGGAAAAGCTTGAAAGGAAATACATAAAACAAAAATGTATGACAATTCACCAAAACATCTAAAGTTGTTTTACCTGCTCGGAATGGCACAGAGTAGCTACGCACGGGAGGGATGAGCAAATCCAAACTTTGAAGACTGCGAGCGCTTGATCGGCTTTTAATGGCTCGTTTGTGAGAGACGCATTAGATCGGCGCAGTTCTGACAAGACTATGCTGCTGTCTGTCCTTCCCTCCCTCCCTCTCGCTCCCCCAGAGAAATAAATAATCTCTGCTTTCATCTGGATCACCGAATCTCTCCCTCCCTCTCCAGTCTGAGCGCGCTCTATCTATCTCTATCTCGCTTTTTCTCTCTAAAACACACACTCGCGTGCGTTATGTTGTGTTTATAGAGTGTTACTGACATTTTATCTCAACCCTCACACAAACATTTCTACATTTTAGATCTTATTTAAAACATAATTAATTATGTTTAATTAGCCATTTTTCTTGTGACTATTGCTGGTCCCCACAATCTATGTGAATTGGTGCGTCACTAAAACTCACAGTGCCTGGGACTACATTTTATTGACCCCCGCTTCCCGGGCCAATGAGTAGGAAATGTCCTTTTGGACCTTATTGGACCCCCTTCATCATAAGGCCTATGTAGGCAAAATCCGACCCATAAAAAAAACTTCCATTTATTATTATTGTATTCAGGTGAATATGTTTTTAAATAGGTTTTTGGCCTTATTTTTTCCACAAAACCCCCAAAAGCATGTGCAGTACCTAACACACTATTTAAGCTTTTTAAAAAAAAAAACAAATTATGCCCCCTTTCTTATTCACATTCTCTTTCATAATTGTATCTGCATATATAATACATAGTACATATACAGTATATTGTCTATCTATTGCGCGCACGCACACACACACACACACACACACACACACACACACAGACTCATGTATAATTCACTTGATTTTGTTATCTATCTTGTATTTTTAATGCTATATTTTTAATGTGTAGCTACTTGAAGCTTCACCAAGATAAATTCCTTATGTGTATAAGCATAGCTGACAATAAATCTCATTCTGATCCTCAGATGTGACTGGATTGAGTAAGTATGCACTCATATTTCTGCAACTGATGGGACTGTATGCTTTAGTCTCTAGTATTTAATAGCCTCCGAAAGGATTTGCAGTGACTAATTCAGTAATTCTCAATTTTGGACCCCATCACTGCACATTTTGTGTGTCTCTCTTATTTAACACCTGATTTATCATCAACTCAGTATAGTGACCTGAACTGGGTGTGTCAGATAAAGGACATATCCAAAACGTGCAGTGCTCTGGCCCTCCAGGACTAGGATGGAGAAGCACTAGCAGATTGCGAGGGACGGGATTACTATATCGGATTAAACTGCAACAAACATCATTTCATTATCTGCGCATCAGATGAAAAGCATGGTGCGGAGGTGAAAATCTCTCACTGTTGTGTCCAGTTTTGTTTTGATAAACTTCGACATTTTATAGGCTCTCGCTCAGGAAAGCACAATACTGGGTATTAATATGCAATGAGAAGAGTTATTATATTGGAGTTTCTTAATGAGTTTTATGGGGATTTATGTTGTTATTAAAGCTTTAGACATACCAGTAGTCATGTATGAGTTTGGTAATATACATGATCTCATGCCATTATGAAGTTCATCAGTCAGACTGGGAAATGAGAAGTCCTTTCTTCCAGTCTATAGCCATTATGTCTCTCTGGGAAGAGTCTCTTCTTAATGGGATGAACCATTGAACCACACAGAGATCAGGGCAGTGATGCTGTACAAGGTCTATAGTGTGCCAATGGGATACGGACAGATGGCAGTGTAATTACGCAGGAACTAACCCCTGTGCGTGTGTGGTTTCCATTTTCATATGCGAATATGTTCAATTTTTCTTGCTTTCTCAAGAAAACAGCTATCAAATCATTCTCTGATAACTATATGTGACTGATAAGAACAGAACATTTAATGTGGTCTAATTTAGACAGTAATGCAGCATAATGTGGAGAGAAATTCAACACCAAAACTCATTGTGTTAAATACACACTTACAGCCTCAAAAAATTCATTATAGCTAGCAACACAGAGCAGTGCTAGATAAGATATGGATATCTAAGGGATAGTGTACAGTCTTTTATTTTGTGATCATGACTGTTGGACTGTACAGTATCTTACATTATTATTATTATTGTTGTTGTTAAATACATAATATTAATAAACAAAAAATGTTGCAGATTAAATACTGATTTGAATATTATGTGAAAGCTTAGAAAAAATCTGTTACAATGTACAAAACAAGCGACAAGACAATATTGCAGTAATATACAGAAGTCCTGTGAGGCCATTTTCACTGAGAGGAAAGATGGGTTCAGACGTGGTTGTATAAAAAGAGAGAATCAGAGTTTTGAATTAATCAGTTGAATGAATAATTTAATGGCACACTCATAATGAAGGTCAGTAGTTTCGTTCCTAAATGAATTTGCTTTTCTGAACAAATCAGTTTACTGAATGATTCAATTGATTCACTTTTAAAGATTCAATTGATTCACTTGTTACTTGCTGCCACCTACTGGTATAACAATGTAAACTGCAAAAAGAGCCACTGAAAAAACCAACCACTAATACACAGACTGACAGACTGACAGTCTGGAACGTGACTGTAAAAAAAAATGCTCAGCCAGCCAAATTCGAGGACTGCAACTAATTGTTGTATGAAGACCAATACAGCATGACCTTGATAGTCTACGAAAACCCCCCCAGAAAACTAGCTGTACACAAGTGATTTTTCAGTCTTGGATAAAGACTTTCAATACTGTTTTCCTTTAGCAGCTTTCCAGAGTGCACAAAAATAAAACACCAAAATAAAATATAACAAAGCCTTGTTAAGGCAGTCTTGTCTTTGACCCATGGTCCATAAAACCAAAAGCTCTATAATTAGCAATTGGGATTTTAGAAGGGAGGAAATGGCCCCAATGGCAGGCCTGCGTAAGACAACCTATAATTGGACCACAGGCACACCCATTGAACAAGCTACACAGTGTTCCTGCATCATGCATTACCATTTAATTGTAATAATTAAATTGCCCAAATGTAGTAGTTGCAATACAATCTAAGTAAGAGATTGCGACTTAAATGGCAATGTGTTCAATGCACATAAATAAGCGATCTGTATGTGCAGTGGTTTACACACACTGATTTGTTCATGTATTTCTGAATTAGGGATCAAAGGATGAAGGCAGCCTTTGCAATGCTATTCATCATACGGTTATTTCCTATGTTGGAACTAACAAGCATTTGTCTTTTTCAGATAGCCTTTCAGGGTGAAATTTGGCTTTCGCCCACACAAGTTCACACTGTGGCCTTGTGTGACAAAACCTTCTTCAGAGAACAATAATATCCTTCAAAAAGTATATAAAATAAAAATGTCCAGTAACTGTGAATGTGTGGACGCTTAAAGACAACATAGATTGAAATGGTGCCTGTTGGACAGATGAAGAGCAAGATGGATGTGATTCTTAAAAATATGCTTCATTTAAACCGGGTAAAACTAATTGTCTTTAAATACAAATATAACACAAATAGAAACAGGTCCTTGAATTAATTTAAAGGGGTAGTTCACTTAAAATGAAATGAAAATGAAAATGCTAAAAATTTACTCACCCTCAGGTCATCCAAGATACAGATGAGTTTGTTTCTTCTTCAGAACAGATTTGGAGAAATTTAGCATTACATCACTTGCTCACCAATGGATCCTCTGCAGTGAAAGGGTACTGTCAGAATGAGAGTCCAAACAGCTGATAAAAGCATCACAATAATTCACAAGTATTCCAGTTCAAGTCCGTCAATTAATGTCTTGTGAAGTGAAAAGCTGCATGTTTGTAAAAAAACAAATCCATCATTGAGACATTTTAAACTTCAAACGGTTGCTTCCAGTTGCTTCCAGCTAAAATACAAGTCCTCTATCCATAATATTGCTTTCTCCAGTGAAAAATGTATCTTGTCTGAATCAGGAGAGAAATATGCAGCAATCAAGCACCGTTTACAAGCAAAACAATCCAAAACAGTTATATGTCATTATATAACAACAGTTATAAACAAATACTTTAGTGGTTTTTGATGTGAGAGGAAGACATAGGCGGTGGACTTTTTTGATGGAGGAAGTGTTATTATAGATCATGAATTGATATTTTGGCCAGAAGCAACGGTTTAAATTTAAAATGTTTACAAACATGCAGATTTTCACTTCACAAGATGTTAATTGATGAATGTGGGTTTTCTTGTGGAATTTTACTGTGATGTTTTAATCAGCTGTTTGAACTCTCATTCTGACGGCTGCAGAGAATACCACAAGTGATGTAATGCTAAATTTATCCAAATCTGTTCTGATGTAAAAATTAACTCATCCTCATTTTCATTTTGGGGGGAACTATTGCTTTAAGGATAAACATAAAGTTCAAGATTCTACAGAGAATGACAGGAAATAGGTTATATCATAATGTAAACAGATGCAGAATAAGTTATATGCAGAATAACGCTTAGTCTGGTGCAGGTTTTCTGGTAGTGCAATACGGTTAAAAGGAATCAGTCCCAGGCTAATGGGTTATTGGTCACGTGTACTAGACGGCCTTAATTATGAAGCTATATTTGAATGGGGATGTAGGGCAGGGATTACTCTGACATTAACTGAGTATAGAGGTAAACCATAAAGGCATACGTCCGGTTCAGCATGTGTGCTGACATCTGAACAGCATGAATGTCACCAATCCAGTAAATGAGCACATTGACAGTGGCGTCCTTGTGTGATCGTAACTTCAAAGTCCTTAATTGGCTGGTCAGTAAAAGTTGGTCTGAGCATTTCTGTCCCAGCACACATTGACTGAAGTGAGTCGGAGGACTTTATTGATCACATGGACATAATGATGAGGAGAAATATGGGACAGTCTGTGATGGCTGATATTTTGAAAAAGGTGACATTAATTTTGAAAACCGGATTGTTTTGTCTTTATTGGGATTTCTGAGCTGCTCAAAAACATGGGCTATTTTTATGTCTTGCGTGCGCAAAAGCTGTCTTTTTTTCAGACAGCGGTCTCCAATTAGCCTGCTCTTTCCTCTTGGAGGCCTTTGAAATCTAGTCTTGCACACACTGTTGTCGTTTGTGCATCTGAAATAGGTGCTAGATGTACCCTTTTTCTGGCCAATGCACACTGAAGCT